AGCAAAGATCGTTCTTTCCAAGATTAGACTAACAAAGCATCCGTGGTTGTACATGTAAATGATTTTTACATGACTTATCTTAGCATGATTGAACTATTCGGGCTTTAAGCAAAAAATAATAAATGACCCCGTCGACGAGATTGGCCGGGGAAAAAAGTTTAGCTCTCTTTCACTTCCACTCTCGGAAACTATTCATTCCAAGACTTGCCTCAAAGTTGGGAACAAGAATGATTATGTAATCTAGAAACAGCACCATTCAATTCAGTCTCTATACCGAACATTATATTGTTTTTACGGTCTAAACATCAGTAAGAGACCGCAGAGTTAAAATGTTATTTTTGTCCTCTTCCCTAGGAGGCAAAATCTCGTCTCGAAGTTATGATGTAGTTTTTTTTTCTGATTCAACAAACCAATGTGAATAACCTGTCTAAAATCGCACAAATCTGTTGGAAAACGTAACTGATACTTAGTCAAAGCCCAATTTCTTTCCCGTATTTTGCCAGTACTGTCTAGTTGTTTTCTAGTATTTTAACTACATGATATACTTTGTATCGTTTAGAGAAAGCAACTTCTGTCTTGTTATGTTTTATATATCAAGTATATATTGGATAAATTGTGTTGATGTCAAAAGACTTGAAAAAATCTGTTAGATGCTTGCCAGGCTTTCTGTCCTTTTTCCCTTGGATTTTGTCCCTTCGTGTAAGCACTTTGCAATGTACATGTCGGGTGATCAATTTTGTAAACGCAATTTTTATGCAAGTCTACATGAGAGATAAGGACGGAGTTCGGTGGTCGTTACTTGAACTGCCTTATGGAAAAAATATTTTCTTTCAGCTACAAATAAAAGAACTTTAATTGATCAAAAAAAAAAAACAATAAGAGATATTAAATCGTTTGAAGCTAAGGGGATTGGCAAATTAAATAACAAAATGTCGGTTCTAAGTTAGCAAGAACAAAAGAAAAACACTGTATTAGATGTACATAATTTTATTCTGTTCCAACTTTGATTTATAGTGCCATTAAACACTTTCTCATCCATGATGAGTTTATAATTTGTGTTACAATCATATTATATTTAATTCAATCATATTCATGAAAGGTCTGTTTTACATTATTTATTCCTTCAGCACTCCAGAGCCATTTCCATTTCAGTGCATCGGAGTTGTAATTGTGTAATCCGTTAGGAACCTGTGTATCAAACAGTAATTTAGATTTGGTGAGTAACAATGTCCACTAAAAAAGAGTTTGTTATTAAAAAAAAAATGAAACAAAAATGTGCAATGGTGAGGTTTCGTGAAAGATTGATGATTTTACGTAAAGAAGATATATTCTATTGTAAAATGCACGCAAAATTATTTGCTATTCGCTCCTTGCTAAAATGTTGATTTTCTGGGAGAGGTTCTGAACTTCAAGGGCTCAATTTTCATTTTGATAAGCCAAAAAAATATTTTAAAACTATCAAAGCGGCATCTCTTCTCTCCGCAAAACTTTTGCGCAAACATTTGTACCGCATTCCAAACTTCAATTTTGTATGGAAGCTTCTCTGTTTATTATCATAGATACATAGATTCGTCAAATGGTAACTATCTACAGCTACCAGTTTGCGTGTGTTTATAAAATTTCATATAATTTCAATGGAGTGAAAAAAGTTTATTTATTGAAAAAGCAAAGAGACAGCTTCGGTTTTCGTGCAAAATTTAACGTGAAACCCGGTTTAAAATTTCTCCTCCACTTATTATTGTTATGTCCATCGCGAAAACGTCTTTTGAGAATGGTAGCCTCTTCGACTCATCATTGAATAGTTTACGTCTTTTCGACTAATGTTCTTTCTTCTCAATTAGTTTTGATTTTGACTGTAACTAAACAAAAACCGGAAAAACAAGATGAAAGCGGCTGTCGTGGACCTGTGGGCTCGACATTATTATTCAGTCAAACAAAACCAATCAATTAAAATATAAAATAAAAATGCTTACCAATGATAAGAGCAGCCACCTTCACGGGGTCATAACCATTCTGATTATGAAGTTCTTTGAGACACACTTTGAAGCCTTTAGTTGTAATTTGCTAATTAACAAAGAAGAAAGACAAATTATAAAGATATTGGGATCTATTAAAGAAAAGAAACTGAGAATTGAAACAAGTTCTTAAAAGATCGCTAACCTGTGTGACAAGGAATCACAAATTAGTTAATCCAAGGGCAGAATTAACGTGTGTTTTGATTGCAGTTTTATAATTTTCAGCGAGGTTTTCTGTCTAGATTTCCTTGATAGATGAGTTAATTCGATAATAGCTTATGTAATGACGATTGTAGATCACAGAACACAAGATACTAATATTTCGCTAAAATTTGTATACGTGGTTCGTATGTGAAGAGACAGCTTGCGGAGATAGTAGAAATTGTCATAATCACATACCTCTACCCAAGTGGCAATGCTGTTATGTTGGGGGACTGGATTAAGATAAGACGCTGAGACAATGACCGTGGGGGTCGAAGTCTTGGGTGTTGTAAAATTCACGATCTGGGAGTGAAATGAAGGAATTAGAATCTTTCTTAAATCAGTATATCTAAATA